GACTCGAGCCGCGGTCGACTACGTGGGAGTCCAGCGACATAGCCGTTACACTAACTGCTGGTCCCGCTCTTCTGTTGGGTGTGTAAACATCGAAGGAAAGTGAAATAGTAGATGGTCCTACTGCAGTGATATATCACACTGTCCTTGGGGTGAAAGAAAGGAACTCATCTATCATCATATCCTCTAAAGACGGTCTCCTACATGACTCCAAATGTTTGTGTGAAAAACAAAAACAAAAAACACCTAAGTATCTCTCAGTATCCAGGCGGATCATTGGTTCTGCAGATCGTTATAAGGTACTTCTACTGTGCCAATCACTGCGTTAAGTATTGTAGGCTTCCTCAACCAGGATTTAGGCCAGAATAGAACCTGAATGTCCTGGATGTCTTTACACGTAAGTAACCACTTTCCTTCCTCGGTTTATATCAGAGTATACGATTTAGCATGTGTCATTCTGGGGAATTGAGAAAATAGCCCCTGAAATCATGCTTTTGTGTTCTGTGGTTCAGAAAACAAACCCCAGGTAAGAACTGCTACAAGTTTAGAAGGTGAAATGACAAAACAAACGCAGTACCCCGTGTCTAGAAGAGCTCTGTGCAATGGACGTCCTCGAGCGCAGACACATTCGCACTCTGGGCTGCTCCGCAGGGCAGCCACTAGTTACACAGGGCTACTGAGTATCTGAGATGTGGCCGGTACAGCCCAGGAACCAGTTTTAAACTTGATTTACTGTTTACCATTATTAGTACTATTTTGTTGCCAGAGAGCAAGTGTGCCCAACATAAAAAGATGAGAGAGAGGAAGAGAGAAAGAGAAAGAACCTCCCCCCGCCTCCATGGGGGCATGGCCACACTGCAATCCCATGTCCTCCATTTCTCTGCCCTATCGGGATGTGCTGGGCATGCATGCACATGCTCCCTGGTGTGCTTTTCAAATAACCAGGGGCAGAGCTTGAAACACAGCTCACCATGGGATCCGACTCACTTCCCCACTGTGCTCCAGGGCTGGCCCACCATGGTCACTTAGAGCCACACACGGTAAGTGACTGCCTTGCTCCATAGGACTGCTTTAGAAGCTCATCTTGAAATAGAGGAGTCTGACGCATGAGTTATCACAATACTGCGAGATAAATGCTAATGCCATGAATGCATTTAGGTGGGAAAGGTGGTCCAGGGTGGCAGATGGACGGGTGAAGGCTTTCGTGAAGACACGACTTCCAGGATGAGACCTGAAGGACAGTAATGGAGTTTTGGAAAGGTAGTGGAGAGAGTGCTGGGCAGAGGGTTGAGTGTGTGAGAAAGTCTGGAAGATAAATGGAATGCTAAGAAAAGACAAAGGGGACCAGCAGATGGTTACATCACTGGATTCTCACATAGTTCACTGCAGTTCCAGTCCCAGACCTGGCAGCTTAAAAGTCACGCTGGGCTTGGATATGTGTGTGTGCCCAAAATCCAGAGAGGAGAATGGAGAAGAAGGGATTATGGCATGGCCATTCCTTTGGAGGGTGATTTCTTGCTTTCTGTCTCTCTGCCTCTTTGGTGAGTGCACATGCCCTATAACAAGAATCTCTCTCAAAAAGAAAATAAAAGGCAAAAAGAGTGCTTTAGAGCCCAGAAAAGTAGGGGGTGGGGGAGAGGGACTTAAGGAGTCTGGAGAGAACATTTGGAACCAGAATTCAGCTCAAGGGCTTTAGGTGTCAAGCCATCACAAGGGCAATGGGGAGCCAGAGAAGAGCTTGAACTAGGACAAAACAATCTTATTGGTGGTTTAGAAAGATGTCCCTGGTTGCCAGTTGACAGTATGGAGGGAAAAGTTGAAGGCATGATATAGTAGCCTGGGTGAGAAATGAAGTTGCCTTTACTGTATTAGCAAAGAAGGTGGACAGAAGTAGACATATCTGGAAAATAGAAAGGACAAAACAAAGAACCAGCAGATGACTTAATGGTGACGTTGCTGGACTCCCAAATGGCCAACCACGGTTCGAGTCCCAGACCTAGAGGCTTGAAACTCACACCAGGTGCATGCGCGTGCGTGCCCAAAATCCTGAGAGGAGAATGGAGGAGAAGGGATTGTGGCGTGGCCATCCCCTCTAGGGAGGTGATTTCTCATTTTCTGTCTCTTTATCTCTCTGGTGAGTGCACACGCCCTATGATAAAAATCTCTTAGGAAAAGAAAAAGACAAATCAAAAGGATTACCTGAGTGAGTGGCCACGGCACGTGGAAAGCAAGCAACAAGAACCACACCTTGATTTCTGACTTTGGTAAGTGACATTTCTTTAAAGGTAACATGGGATTATTTAGAAATTGATTCTAGGGCCAGCCAGGTGGTGTGGTGGTAAAGGCAGCTGGATCCCACATAGCTGACTCCGGGAACTGGTGGCTTGAAAAATACATCGAGCACATGTGAATGTACATGCCACAAATCCCAAGAGAAGGGGGGGGGAAGGGACTGCAGTATGGTTATTCCCCGTAGTGATTTTTCACTTTTTCCCTCACTCTTTCTGTCTGTATCTCTCTAGCAAGCGCACATGTATTACAGCCAGAAAAAAAAAAAAAAAAGGAAGGAAACTGTTTCTAAATTTAATTTTTCCTATGACACTAGATTACTTGCTCCTCGTGGGTCTTGAAACGAGTTTTGATATACACTAGTGAAAACAGACTATAAGAGCATGCTTTTCCAAGAAATCAACACAATTTCACAGTTGATGCAACATTGCTTTTATTGGGGGTCAGGGACATATGACAGAGTATTATAAAATGTCAACAAAGTCATACTTTGCGCTTGGCTCCTCTTTACAAAACCCTGTTTATTTACGAACTCACTTAATAAGAACTGTGTGATGTGGCCAACAATCATTATTTTGAAAACAAGACGAGCAAGCAGATCTAAAGTCCGACAATGTTCAACATCTAAGCGGAAAGTTACAGCAGTCAAAAATTCAGATACTTCCAAACATGTAGATGTTTGTCTTTCAATAGGCCCAGCCTCACTGCCGCCTGCAGGATATTTTGCATTTCGAACCTCTATGTTATCCAACTGGCCACGTTATTAATTGTTACTAAACGCAAATGGAATGCAAAGCGGCTGGTAAAGTAGAGTAAGGTTGCCTCAGTTCTAACTTTTTATTTAGAATTAAAAATTAGATTTCGAATAGAAAATGCCTTCATACTTTAAAAACACAAGTACTGAAATGGGCACGCGGAAACATTTATGCAGAAGCACGTACCCATGGAGGGGCTTTGAAACATTTACAGAAATGCATATTATGAAAAAGCTATGCATGGATTTCAAGTTTTGTGGAGGTTTTGCAACAAAGTAAGCTTGTACTGCTTTTCCCGTGAAGTCTCCTGAGAGAATGTGCATAGTGTTAATTAAGATGATCACTGGCTGATTTGATTTGTGTAGGTATGCTAAGAACCCCAAATAACTGAAGAGTATCGCTGAAGACGGGGGACACACACAACGCTGGCCACTAGGTATTCTTTGAGGGTAAATCATAGACAATTTCTGGCCTAAAAGTGGTGGTTCATGGCTAGCTATTTTTCACATTGAGGTAGGAAACTAAAGACACACTGAATTGAAGCAATCTGCTGGGCATGAGGGCCCTGGATTACTTAGATGGAGCGTTGTTATTGGTCAAGCCAAGGTCACACTTCATCAGGTAGGGGTCAGTTCAAGACTCGCTGAGAGTGAACGTGGTGCCTGCTCTGCCAACCGCAAATACGTAACCTGGAAGTCACTAAATTTGTGGGCTCTTCTACAGAAGAGGATATTGCAGCCAGGACTCAAGCCCCACCACATTTCATTCTCAAGAATGTGGGTCTTTTTGCATACCAAAGGGAACAATTTCATCAAAGTCTGGCAAACAAAAGTGATGAAGAAACCAGCAGTTGGTGTAATGGTTATGTCTCTGGACTCCTACGTATTTGACCCCGGTTCAAGTTCCAGACCTGGAGCCTTAAACTCACACCAGGCGCATTTGCGTGCGTGCCCAAGATCCCAAGAGGAGAATGGAGGAGAAGGGATTGCGTTGTAGCCATCCCCCTGGAGGTGATTTCTCGCTTTCTGTCTCTCTGTCTCTCTCTGTCTTTCTGGCGAGCACATGTGCCCTATAGAAAAAACCTTTCAAAAATAAATAAACAAATAATTAAAAAAGAAAAAAGGTGATTAAGCACTATTCCCTGATTTTTCTCAATATTCTGTCATGAAAAGGCATTGTATCACTCCAATGTAATGTAATGAGGAGACCGAAAAGGTCTGACATCATAATTAAATGAGATAGCAATTTGTTTACTACAAGAAAATATCAAGGGATATTGAGCGAGTGGTGACACTGTGGCATTGATCACAAAATTGTGACTTCGAGCTGTAGATCATGAATTCTGTACTTGCGATCTTGATTGTGAATCCTGTACATGGCATTTTGGCAAGTTAGTTAACTTCACTAAACCTCGGTTTTCTTACCTGTAAAATGGGAATAATAATAATAATAGCTATTTGGCATGACTGCTATGAAGTTTAAGTGAGTTGATATGCAAAATGTTTAACGCAGAGCAAGAAAGAACCAATTAATATTAAGTTAACAAAAACCACAAGTTCTTCCTGGTATACCAATCACTCTCACTTGCTTTAATGGCCAATAAATATGATTATAATTCTAGGTGACTCCTGGAGTGGGAGAGGGAAGAGTGTGTGTGTAATCCTTACCATAGATATATAGGCAGGTGCTGAAAGTCTGGGGTGAGGTCAAGTAGACATTCAGACCCCCTAAAGTCTTCATGTGGCTTTCTCCTTCCATGGCTTCATTCACAATATTACATCCACCTAAAAGAATCCTACTTTCTCCTTCTTTTCCATTTAAACTAAATTTTTTATAATCTTTAAGATTCATCTCATATTTCCCTTTTGTGGAAATGTTCTTCCCCATACAAGCCAGTTTTGCCCACCTATGGCAACTTCTTTTGAGCTTGTTAACATCTTTTGTTTTGTTTCACCTTTGTCCTTACCATCTTCTGACGTGTTATTTACCTTTTCAAAGATGTATATACCTTTGTCTAACAGACTTAAGGTCTTTAAAAGCAGTGACTGGATCTCCCAGAAGCTAGCTTGCTTGATTAAGATAACGGTGGAATAACATCGTACTTCTACGCTGCCGTATGAGTTTCCACCATTATCTTTTCCTTTGGATTGCCTTTGACTACTTTGTTACTCCAAAACTACTTTTTATTCTCTAGGCCACTCTTAAGATCAAACTGTGCATGGCTAAAAGTCATTCTCCTTATATTAATGTCGTTCCCTCAAACATTGACACATTAGTGCAAGTCTAGATTTTTAAATTTGAATTCTAGTGCATTGCTAAACACATCCATATTAGGAAAAAAAATTAAATGTCACATGAATTTAAATACAAACAGAGGAATACACACAAGGAAGGGAACCTTCTTGGCTCATTAGAAATCTAGATTATGAAGTCGTTAAGCTTTTCTGCTTCTTGAAAAGCCTGCCTCCTGTTCAAGACTTCTACTGGTGGAAGCTGCACCCTGTGGGTGTGTCGCTTAGCAGAAGAGGTGTCCTCAGGTGAGCACTTTCTTTGTTTCAACTTCATAGCTGGCTTGAGGGTCCATCAATAGAGTAGTCTCTGAGGTCTTTGTCTTTTCACTGGGGAGAGATTCCTGAGGAGGGGGGCTATGGGAACAGCTGGAAGGAACATCAACACAACTAAAAAAATAACAGAACATGTCACAGAAGGTTATCACATTCACTCCAATAAAACTAAGCAAACGTGATGATACTTTGGGGACCACACTCTTCCTATGTACAGGTGAAATGCTTCATGACTAGAAAGAGGAGCTTTTTGTCATCAATCACGTCCCTTCAGAATCAGTCAGGCAATGAGTGGCCTTGCCCAAGTGTGTGTGTGTGTGTGTGTGTGTGTGTGTGTGTGTGTGTGGAAACCAGCTCTAACTGCTCTGGGAGAAAATGCTCCGAAAGGAAAGCCTCAGGTTTATCCTGTGGGGACTTACTGAAATAGGACACACAGAGACAGAACAAAAGAACACAGGACACTGAGGACACATTCAAATAAATTCAAGAACTAAAGGCAAAATCAAATAGTTGTGGGTGCATAACTGTTTAACAAAGCAGGAGTGAATGAAGTCACTAGAACGGGTAGGTGTTAATTATCTATTCCTTTGTATTCCCAGTGCCTGGAACGAAAAGTGGCACATGGGAAAGAAAAAGAAGAAAAAGAAATAGAAAAGGAAAGAAAGAAAAAGAAAGAAAGAAAGAAAGAAAGAAAGAAAGAAAGAAAGAAAGAAAGAAAGAAAGAAAGAAAGAAAGAAAGAAAGAAAGAAAGAAAGAAAGAAAGAAAGAAAGAAAGAAAGAAAGAAAGAAAGAAAGAAGAAAGGAAAGGAGAGAGTAACGAGAAGGAAAGAGAGAAAGGAAAGGGAGAAAAAGAATGAAAAGGAAAAGGGAACACAGCAGGAGCAAAAAGAAGAAAAAAGTAAGAAAAGGAGAGAAAGAATAAGAGGAAAGGAGAGAAGGAAGGAGAGAGAAGAGAAAGGAAAACAGGAGAGAGGAAAGAGGGAAGAAAGGGGAAGAAAGAGAAGGAAGAAAAAGAGAAAGGAAGAGAGAAGAGGGAAGGAATGAAGGAAAGAAGAAAGAGAAAAAAGAAAAGGATTAAGAAATGGAGAAGTGAGGTGGGGGGAACAAAATGTGCAGAAAGGAAATGCAGAAGGGAGCATGTCCAGAGCCTGGAGTCGTAGAAACGGGGGATATCGTAGGCTGGCTTAATTCAAGAAGAGATTATACATTCAGAGTGGCTTTAGGAAATGGGGTGGGGCAATGCCCAGGTGACGTTGAACACGTTAAAATGTAATTGGGGTAGTGTGATATGTTGATGTAACTACTGTAAGCCTGTCAGGGAAATATTAACTTGATTCAAAAGAATCAAGTGAAAAAGGACATGTGAAACCCACAGACGTCAGTCCAATGGAAAAAACCAAACCATACTGCAAGAAATTACATGAAGGCAGAAGGACTAAGGAATATGGGCCTAAAATAGAGAGACAGGTGCTTGTCTGGTCTTCTCTGCGGTAGCATTGAAGGAAATGGGCTTAGAACTCTGATCAAGAATTCACTTCTCCCACTGTGGAGCGTTTGCCATGCTTCAGCTGTTGCTCTTTTCTGTCACTGCCCCTTCCTGAAAAAATGAACTTGTCTTTACTGTTTTAGCATCAGTGAAAAATAATGTTAGTAAATACAGAACCCGGAGGTGGCATCGAATATAACTTCGAAGGGTAACTGTGGGTACAAACAGACTCCGGATTCACGGGTCCTGGAACTGTTCCGATGTCTCCATACTTTAGAAGAGTGTCAAAAATTCTTAGAGCTGTCAAAGAATTTAGAGCCCAGCCAATCCCACCTGCTCATTTTATAGATACTACTTGAGAAAAGGCCTATTAATATTTCTGTATTTTATTCTACAAAAATTGTTATGAATGAAATATACTTTGCAGGTGGATTTGAATTTAACTAACGCCTTTATTGTCAGTCCCTTCATTATGCTCACACAATGAAGATGTATAATGAGTCAGGCATACCAAAAAAAAAAAAAAAAAAAGTGATATGCACTATGACAGATTGCTGCTTTGGGCCCTAAACACGTTAAATGTATTGAGGATATAGGTTCTCTAAATAGCAGGTATATTTTTTTCCCCCAAAGCCTGCAAAATAACTAGGTATTAAATACCGGTATTGGTAGTAAGAATTCTTATGTTCTAATCAAGCATGCAATAATGGGTATTGGATGCATAAATACACATTTATAGATTTTAGCATTTATTATTTTGTGAACATTGGTAAAGAGTTTAGGGGGCTAAACTGTTGATATGCAACCATAAGACTCATTTGTGAATAAGTGAAATTGTTACGGAATTAAGAAAGAATGCTTCACACAATTATTTTCTGCCTCATTTGGGTGGCTAAGCAAGGAAAGTCCTTCAATACAGGAACAGGGGAAAAGAAAATCAATGCATTGCTTTGGCTTACATAGATACAGCCCGTGCAAAATGCCTTTTAGCATATGGACTCCATTATTAAAATGAATTTTGAGGAATTAATAGTATAAATACGTGAGCAGCCATATTCTAGGTGTCTTGAGTCAAATGTTGTACAAACCAACTTTCCTTGGGCCCTCTGCTTACTTGATTAGATTGAGTGATATTTTGTATCATCTCAACACCAGCTCCCCTTGGAATCTTTGTTGTCTCACAAATGCATAACACAGACCCAGACGCTTGGCTTGTTCTGCCTTCTCCTCTGTGATCTGACGGTAATGATCCTCCGAATTTGCATCAAGAGCCTCTTCATCTACTGAGCACATGGTTAGTGCCAAGGGCCAAGCTGACCAACCAACTCACTATTTTCTGCCTGGGTCTTTTCTTAATAGCTAAATCTTCAGGGGTCAGCTCCTTGGAGGAGAGCTCTCCAGTGGGGCCATCGGATCTCTGGTGTCTTGTTGAGACACCACAAGAAACTTGATGTTAGCTCATCAATGACCTAATGCCAAGTTTCAGTATTCATCACGTGCCATGCAAAACGAAGGGGAAAGCAGAAAAGAGGCATGGTTGATTATTGTTATTGTTTTGATTACTTTGATTATTAAAATTATTAGCTCTGCCTAAGGCCATTTCCCTGGCATTTTATCTCATTATTCCAACAAAGGAAATGGATTCTTTATGAATAAGATTTACTATTCTAATATTCTCCACTATTTCAAGTTGTCCAAAGTTAGGATGAAGGCCAAACCCACAAAGAGCAGCAAATATTTTATAAATAATGCAAGTGTCTCCAATGATGACCCTTTCAAAAATCATGAATTTCCAACATCTGGGTCACACATCATTATTTTTGAAAAAAAAAAAAAAAACCCACAGACCGTAAAGTCCTTCTCTTCTTATATTAATTAACAAGGATTTTTTTTTTTTTTAATAAGCTGACTTTAAAATCATCCTATTCAGGAACCAACTCAAATAATGAGAAATGCCCAAGGGAGGAAAAAAAAAAAAACACTCAAGTAGGCAACACAGAAAGCAACACACAACTATATGCACATTAGTATAATTACACATTGCAAATTATATCGGATGTATCTAATATCTAATTTTTTGAAAGCTGATTCCACTTGAGACTTCAATAACAGCATCAATATTTTGCAGGTGGCTCCTTCTGTATAGTATCCAAAGGAAATTATTTCTCTAATGTGCTTACAACTCTCAAATAAAGCTGAAGCTCTCTCTTCCAGGACCAGTGCACAATGAACCCTGGGCATATTACCTGGATAGAGGAAGGGGAGTGTGTCGCCCCGTACAGTATTCCACAGCGCTATCTACTCCGTCGCAGCCATGAACCTAGCACCTATTTGCTTCAAGCAATAAGAAATGAACTTCAACACAGCCTCGTTTAAAAACATGGGAGAGCTGCATGTCCATTCTACGGCCATGATATGAAAAGCTAGAGGCTGAGGATTTTTGAGAACAACGGATAAAAGAGATGTGCGGGAGAATGGCAGACTGTACCTTTGATTGAAAACAGCAAGCTCTCCACTACATTCGGCTCTTCTAAATCATATGATTAATTTGTCCTAAAGAGGACACGAGATCAAAGCTCCACTTTGAGGAATAGGCTTTTGTCCTCATCTTTCTGTATGAAATCAATCAATCATCAAATAAGCAAAATATATTTGTGATCTTGGAGAATGAGGCATATTATTCAAGTTGATTGGATCCATTTTCTTGATTCCTCCTTAAAGATCTTTCTGCTAATTAGTCAGGGCGACTATTGAATTATTTAATTATCTGCACTTTTGTGCAATGAAATATGTTGTCATATCACACACTTTATCATGCTGTTGCTGTTCACACTTAATGATGCCTCTTTACTTAGCAGGCTCCTTTGTTCTGCTCCGTAAGTGGTTTTAGAAAGGGGGTGGGCCGAGGAGGAGGAGCTTTGGGGTTTGTAAAATAAAATCATACATTGCTGGTGCACATGCCAAACTTCATGCACGTACATGCATCTCTTTTAGAAATTAAGTTGGAATTGCATTTGGAATCAGCTAAGCGGCACATGCCAGTGACTTCGGACGCAGCCACACCACGAGAAGACTCCCTCCAACCTCTTGCCTGCGTATCTCACTGCCCTGCAATAGTAAAACGACGATTTAATTTTTTTTTTTTTAATCAGCAAGGAATGTCTTTAACAAGGAAGAAGTAAATTATGATAATTACTCTGAATGGTCGGATCCTTGAGCATTACTAATTAGCATTTATTGCCTGGATTATAGAACAATGCATGTGAAACCAAACTGCGATTGCTCTTTTACGTTGAAGACTTGAAAAGGCAACAGAGCAAAAAGGCGGCAGCTTTAGTAGGTTAGGAAGTAGTTTACATCTCCTGGGTAGGGTGTAGGATCCTCACCCTGGGACACGAACACGGTCCCCTGTATTTACGGTCCATTCATTCTGGGGGGGGGGGTCAGGCACATACGCCCATATGGTATCAACAGCCACCGTGGACTAATGAGAGGAGCAGCATTTTGGTTATGATGTCATTTTGGAATAACTGTATCAGTTCTGAGAGTTGAAAAACAGAACATCAGACTCACTGGTTCCTAAAAGTACAGAAATGTTTCTGTTGCGATTCTGGCTGGAAAATGGAACCCCACACTGAGCACTTAGTGAAGAAATGTACATCCACTTCTCCACTTTTTCTTAGAAGGACTACTGTTTTAAAAAAAAATGAGAAAAAATGACTGCTTTCTACCTTACGAGCTTTTTCTTCGGTAAGAATGTGCAATACAATAGATTCTGAAATCAGAAAAAAATGAGGTATTCATTAACAGATAAACACCGATCCAGTAAATAAATGCCACTAGGGTAATTTGGCAACTGAAATTCTTAAAGAACCCGCCAGGTAGAAGGAGAGAAAAGAAAAATGAAGCATTCATCATTCTCACTGCGGGCTCACGTTTTCTTCCACACCCCATCATAGCGAATGAAGAGAAAAGAAGATCGTAAAATAGAAAGCCCCTTCTAAATACAGTTGCTGTCTTCTCCATACCTTGCCTGCCTTCCCCACTCTGATCCTTTTTAGTTTGAAAGAATAAGTTTGACTAAATCTGTGAGGAGATTAAACAGGCTGGTGATAAAAATTAATTCTGCTGAATGAGCAAATGCATTTGGTCTGCAGAGATGCAAATAAGATAATACTTTTCTTTTCCTTTGACATACCAGGCGGATTAGTTGAGAATGTTAAATTTGATTTTATTAGAATATATTAGCAGTGTTTTAATTAATACCAATCAAACATTTTCTTTCCCTGGGGCTTCATACGTTCCTAACACTTTCTAAATCATCTGTCTTTTTTTCCATCAAAAAAACCCTCTCCGAATTATCAGAGCCTTTTGTGACATTCTTCAGAATTTTACTGTATTCACAAAAAATAAAAGAACAACTCTGAACTCTATACCGAAAGGTGTTTTGACCATACAATTAGTTCCCAGGTGCTAAGGTTTAAAATAAGAGTTCATTAGTATGTGTAATTTTTTTTTTTTTAAGATGGAATAAAAGACTTGAAAGTAAACATCTTTCGGATTTTTCTTTTGGGGAAAAATGTTGTCAAAGGAGTTTTGGCTGGTTCGTATTACTTGGTTTTACTCTCACTAGAGCTTCCTAAAGCTGTGAAATTTCCAACTGCATCGGTTTTTGACCTGGCATTTCTTTGGAAATCAAGGCAAAAAAAAAAAAATTAAGAAGAAAGGAGGGGGGCAGAATCTAGTGAAAGATATGGTGAGGCCGGGTGCCCTGAGGACTCAATTGTGACTGCGTCCCAAGGAGGTGCATGCATTGCATTTCGGTCCTTCTTCCCTCCTTTTCTCTCCTGCTTCCTGTCCTTCTGTGTCCGAAAGCTCCAGTTCACTTCTCTCTCTTTCTTCCCGCAATGCACCCCCACTCCAATTCCCTGCCTTATTTTTTTTTTTTTTATCTGCCAAGCTGGATTTGCACTTTTAAAGATCAGTATCAATAATGCCCTGCTTGTTTAGGTAGGCACTCTCCCTTTAAAAGACAGCCCCCTCTAATTGATGCGTCTGGGCTAGTCTAGACTGGTAGTGATTGAACCAACCACCAATTATGTTATTCATTTCACTGAACTTCACTGATGGGCTCCGTGAGGAAGAAGGGGTGTTGAGAAACCTGCCCTCGTACTGAAGCAGTCGCCTGCTGCAAAATAAAATCTTGTGTGTCCTTCTGCACTCCTAACTGCCTGGGTGATCGGCGGTGTGATAGCGACTTCGGAACATGAGCAATCCACTTGAAAACATTTTTTTTTTTTTTAACCAAAAGAGTGCCTTGGAATGCGAACTGCAACACTTGTATTAAATTACGAGAATGTCCCTTAAAATCACAGAAGAATTACATCTAGCATCTTTTTAGTGATCCTTGCATACATTTTAATCATAGAATAAATGGGCAGATATATTCTGACTTCAAAAAGCACCAAGGGTTTTGCAAATATTTGATAGGAATCCGATGGTAATATAGATCTGTAAGTTAAATAGATGTCTTGTCGCCCTGTCCAAATACCTATGCATACATATCAGCTAAGGTGGGGAAAATCATGAATCCATTGCAGATAAACTAATGATGACTTCAAAATCAAATAACTGTCTTTGAAGCACAGTCGACTCCCAAAGGCTAGAAAGTAAGACTTAAATATTACAACTGCACATGAGCTTTCAACAAAAGACGCAGTACGATGGTTACACATTCATCCTCTCGTTTCAGTTTTCTGATACAAAATGGTTTCTTGACTGCGATTTGGAATCAGCGACTAGAATTATAATCAACACTTAGAAAACTGACAAGGAAAGAACAGTTTCCCTGAACCTTGGACTATATGAACAAAATGAAGTTACAACTAATATAAAGTCTTAAGAAGAAGAAAACAATTAAAGTCGGGGTGCACATAGGTATCTTCCAAAAATACTAAAATCCTGTTTAAATGAAATTGTATATCGGAATTCTCACAACAAAGGAGGGCTAGTTGCTGTTTCTCTTTTCTCAAATAGGAGACAGACCTAAATCACTGAAATGATTCTATTAGAAAAAGTTCCAGCTCTAGAAAACTCTCCGGTAGCCATAATGCTAACAACAATGATCTGCAGAGAGAATCATTGCAAAGGTACAGTTTGGGGTTATAAATTTGTTGAATTGAATTTAAATTCTGATTAAAAAAAAAAAAAAAAGAAGGACCCGTGTCTAAGTGAAAAGTAATAGGCACCGATTACTGCTAAAGAATACAATAACTGAATTTGTGATGTTGTTTCTTTCGTTTTCTATATTTAGAAAATTTATTTCCAAATCCCTCTTTTAAATGCATTGATTATTAAAAAATATACCCATGCAAGGAGGCTCTATCCTCCCCTTTCATTTAATTTTGAAAAATCTTGCCAAGTCACACCAGCTTCGCCTTTAACAGTCTCATACATTCCCCCCTTTGTTGCAGTAGACTTTCTAACGTGTTAGTATTTTAGCCTAAACTACTGGCTCCCCCCCCTCTTTGTCTCTGTGTTCACGGTCTAGCCATATATGATACACATGTGTGGACACTGAATAGATCATAGATTCACATGCCCATTTTAATTGGGCACAATTTGAAGATTAACTGTTGAGTTTGAGAGTTGGAGGCATGGGGCATGCTGGGACGTCAGCTGAGATGTTCTGAGGTCAAGCACCAGGTACTGAGCTGTTCTTGTTACGCTCGAATAGTACTGCGTGTTGCTCTCAAGGAATAGATCTCGTAGACGAGTTCCACAAGCCTCGGGCATCAATAATATACATACATATCCGTTAACAGCCAACACGCGATGACAACAGAACAGAGACCGACTTGAACAGAAATCCGGGATCTGCCACTCTTTGGTCACCTGATCCCATCTAACAATGAAAACCTCAGAGGTAAACTCAATCACTTCAGACAGACTTTCTTTTCTTTTGTTTTTGCTTTGAAAGAAAAAAAGTTCCACCCAATTTTCAGGATGCAGAGGCACGACTCGCAGCTCCCAAGAGCCTAACCCGTGGATTTAAACGGTAAACATCACAAGTTAGGGTCTCAGGGACTGAGAGCAGAGCAACAGATTTTTCTTTCTCGAGACAAAACAAAGCGAAAGGAGCAATGACAGGCAGTTTCTGTTGGAGGTTCAGGGCTAAATGCAACAAACAGGTGGGATGGCATTTCTTCACTCTCTAAGCTTCCTGAGCCCACACATTTAGATGCCATTTCAGTAGGAAATATACACGCATACGCAGCAACTATGGGGTCTTATACATACCTGGGCATATCAGTGTATCAGAAACACACACACACACACACACACAAAGACCTCTTGCAAGCTTGGGGCAAAATAGTTTACCAAAATGGAAAATAATATGAATAGACTCAAAAATACCCATGTTTTAGAAGCTGTAGTCTACAATAAGGGTTTAATGTCTCTTCAAAACTTGAATGTAACAACTAGCATGAATGACTGAAAAAACTGAAAAAAAAAAAATACGAAGCATCTCTATCCCCCAGGGCAAGCATGCCGCATGCAAAAATCACAGAAATCGGGTTTTCAGAGGAAGACCAAGAAGTAAGGCTCCGAGGCTAGGGAAGTAGGAATGCGAATCGCGTTTTGAACTCACCCATTCGAAGCAGCACGGGCTTCCTGCACCACCATCCCGAGCAAGGGGGGGAAATGTGAGCTCCCCGTGCGCTAGGCTGGGCGAGGTGTACGAGAACGGGGGCGGGGAGGGGAGGCGGGGGCAGGAAGCGATACACCAAATCTAGAGACTGTAACTCTAGTTTATGCTTTGAGGAGAGAGAGGGAGAAAAAAGAAAAGAAAAAAAAAGAAAGAAAGAAAAAGCCGTTGGATTGGAGTGAGGGAGGGGCTGGGACTGATCAAATTTGGAAAATATTCACTTAAAAATTAAAAAAAAAAAAAAACGAAAGAAAAAGCAAGACACCTCCCCAGAGCTGCTTTGAAAACATTTCTTCCTTCTTTCTTTAGCATGGGCTTTGCTAGTCCTGCAAACTGGGCCCTCCTCTGCATCAGCTGCTCGGGAAAGCCTGGGCCAAGTCACCGAGGGCCAGCACCAGGCTGTCATTTGGTGGCCGCGAACTGGAAGGGGTGGGTGCAAGCTGGGGAGAGGCACCCCTACCGCCTCCTGCTGCGGATCCTTTGAAGCCTTGAGCCAGTATGTCAGAGCACTGGGGAGCACAATTTCCCTCCATCTTCGCAGACAGCCACTGGTTCTGTACCTGATGGTCACTGGTCCCCTTCTGATCGGGGAGCTGAGCTTCTCTGAGCTGCATTCCCACACGACCCAGAGGGAGGGGGAGTGGCTGGGAAGATGCCTCTTTTTCAAATTTTTCTTCCCCTTTTTCTTTCTGTGGGTCCCTTTTTCTTCTTTTATTCCAGGCCTGACCAAGGTGGATGACTGGTTAAGTCAGAGAGAATGACAAAGCAGCCCCAGCCAGCCACACACTGGAGGGGGGCCTCCAGCCCTTGGTAAAAATGCTCAATATTTTTTATATATTTTCATATGCAACTAAAAACAGTTCGAGCTCCAGGCTCTGCCCCTCCCCCCTTTTAAAAATAGAAACGCACCCACGAGATGACTAGCCTGCCTCTCGTCCCTCTGTACAGGGGCTGTTCAGCATCCCTCCCCCTCAACCCTTCAAGACAACTTTTTTTTCTCACCTCCGTAGGTTCTTCTCAGGCACAATCCTCCGTCCAGCTCGGGCTCTCTCCTTTTGCTTTCCCTTCCCTTCTCCTTTTCCTCTCTCAGAAAAGCTAGTCCGTCCTCCTCAGACCTAGCTTCTCCCTCTCTCTCTCAACCTCTCTCCCTTTTTCTTTGACTATTAAAAATAATAATAATAATGGCCCTTTCGACATAGCAGCGTGAAGTGGCCGCCTTTGAGAAAGCACATTTAATCTTTACTGGCTCCCCTAGGCTTCAGTGAAGAAGGAGAAGGCAAGGGGGAAAAAAAGGGAGAGAGAAAAAAGATTGTAAGGGAGGCTGCTGACGGACAGCAAGCATCAGGCACAAATCAGCGACAAGCTGGATTTGCCTAGCCCACACTGCCCCCTTTCTTCTCGGCTCTCTCCCTAGGCTCCTGGAAAGCCTGAGTGTCTGGTTACAGGAGGCAACGGGTCCCCTTTTGCCAACCATGCTGCAGATTCCTCGCATGCCTGCTTAAATCTCTGGCAGAATAAGGAATCAATATCCCCCTCTAATCACCTTTAGCTCTGCTATGGCTTCCCCCCTTTGCTGAGAATCCACTTGGCGCTCCTCACAGCTCCCCACCCTGTCATTTCTCACTTCCTTCCATATCTGGGAGCCGAGCCTCTCTGCTCCCAGCCTCGCGCTTGCTCCCTCTCGGGTTGCAGTGTCTCATCCCAGACTCGCAGCACCGGATGCACTAAAGCATCTCCCTGACTACTAATGAGACCAAAAATACACCAGCAGGTCAGGGGGAAGGCCAGACATTGTATTAGACAAATACGAAAAACCGTCAGCCTGCTAGACCTCCAGATCAGGTATCACTAAAAGGAAAGAAGGGGGGGGGGGAAGGCGTGAAGAGGGGAGACCCCTCGCGCAGTTCTCTGCCTGTTTCCTACCCTGTGGGAATGTCAGTGTGCCCGCCTGTGTGAGTGCAGGGGATGCATTTTGGCAACGTTGGTGGGTTTCTTTAGGGACAGAAAGCCAACAATGCCCAGACAGCTCTTTGCAATCAGCATTTAGCAAGGTAAAAGAGCAAAGAGGCAAATCTGGGTTTGAGATACACGGACATTCTGTTCAAGCACGCAATGATCACAAGGCTCAAACTCTGCTTCCTCCCCATGGCTGGGCTTGGCCATTGACTGTATCTGCAGAGCGTCCGCTTGACCATGCATGTCCCCCCCTGGATTCTGAGATGAACTCAAAAGCACACCCTAACCCTTCGCTTTGCACCGCAGACATTTTTCTTCTTAGGTGTCCATCAGATACACGGACTCCTCATTGATCAGCCTAAAGCCCCTCGATCATGATAGGTCATATTTCAGATGACATGTAAGAGGCATAGGAAGAAAGACACCTCGAGTTGGCGAAGGGAACATCGCGCGTTCTGTCAGTTGGCACCCATTTGTAAAGCCTTGCTGTAAAGGTACCTCCAAAGCAGGTATCTTCCCCAAATTGAGGTCCCCACCTATCAACACCCAGTGGCTATGTTGCCATCTTAACCCAATTTTCCTGGCACGAATTGTGCAGACAGCAGGCGGTGCTGGGTCCCATGCAATGCCAGGCTCTGTAAGTGGGAAGGAAGGAGACGACGGAGGCTTAGGCTGCAGGTTCCCTCCAAGGCAGTGTTTTTAAGAGGTAGCCTCTTTGTACGCAACTCAGACATACACTGTGCTTTGTCTCTCACCGTGAGACCTGCGAGCGCCACTGGGTGCAAGGGAGAAGACGACGAGAAAGCACCAATGAGAAGAAGGTACAGAGACAGAAAGAAGGGAACGGAGGAGAGGAGAGAACAGAAGAGAGGAGAAGAAAGCAGAACACAGAGAGGAAAGAGAATGACCTGCAGAGGGGGGGCTTGCCTTTAATACTTTTTTTTTCCCCTCTTTTTGTCATTATTAGGAAGGAGAAAAAGATGGTTGCCAGGGGTGGGTGACTGGGTTAGAATCTTTTTCAAATTTGGTTAACAGAGTGATGGAGAAAAAAGAAACATGCTAGAATAATCATATAGGGAGGAACTGTCACAAAAAAAAAAAAAGGTCTTTGACTCACAGGGTGCCTCCCTGGAACGCCAAAATGAATCACTCTTAGCCAGAATCGTCAATCGTCTCAGCTACTTGTCGATGGAGACCGGTATCAGAATCACACCACTGCATCCCTCTTCCGCAGGGAAAGGTGGTAGGTTTGCTGAGACTCCTCCACCGCCCCGTGTTTGCAACAATAGTTGAGCACGATTTTCGCATACTAAGCTAACTTGCTCTTGTCTGTATTCACAAAAACAGACAAATATGGGACTTGAGAAAGTTTTGCTATGAACACATCATTTTCTCTCTACAACTCAGCCCTGTCTTTGGAGGATACTTATTTCAAGCAGTTAACACCTGACCCCAATTTCTGTGGGTAATTAGTGAGCTAGATAACCACACAAAGTGGGTAATTATTTAGTACCCAAGGGTACGCTAGAAGAGGTAGTGGCTTTGTTAACAAAAGCACATCTCTAATTATTGTATCTATGATGGGTGTTTTTAAAATACCAGTTACTATATCAAGTGAACCATGATAAATAAGGGGATGATTTTGCTGTTCTTAGCATATACGTAACCCGTTTTCCATCGTGGTTAGTCATATTTACTGCTCCTGTATGGAATATGGTGTAGATTAATTAGTTAACATCTGTAAGACTCTCCGAGGATGGAATGTGCTAGAAAGCTCCTAACTACAATATTATTGTTGTTATTATTACCTTGGCTAATAATCCCAGGATGAGAGAAGCTGAGGGAGTTGATGTTACCGCCTGGTCTACGTCTTGGTTGGAAAATATGCTGAGATCACAAATGTAGTGAGTCTGGGTGTGGGGACTAGCCTTCCTACCTGGCAGAGTCTACCAGGGCTGTAAGAGAATGGAAAGGTGGATGATCTGTCATTGACAGCTGGCTCGGATGGATCCACGGGGCTGGGCGAGGAGGTGGGGAGAAGGAGAGCAGAAGGCAGGAGTGGGTGACTGGCAGAGAAGGCAGCTGAGTCAGCCGGGCCACACTCTCCTTGCAAAGTCTTTCTATCCTTCCCACTAAGGAGCAGTGAACAGGCACAAAAGATTCCTAAAGAACATCTCTGCAAGTCCTGGGACAAATGCAGCATGTATCCTGGAGAAGAATCATCAGCCCAAATGATTCTCACACACGCAGGCACATTTGAAAGCATGACAATGTTGAGAATAGACACGCACAGCCCAACCTCAGAGGTCTTTCACAGAGGACACATGAACACCGATGGAGAAGCACTTTCTAATGGAATTGCTTTTATGAATCACTTCCAAGAAGAGAAGTGGATTTTATTTATTTTTGCTAAGGAAGAAAAAGAAAGAAAGGAAAGGTAAAAAAAAAAAAGAAAGAAAGAAAGAAAGAAAGAAAGAAAGAAAGAAAGAAAGAAAGAAAGAAAGAAAGAAAGAAAGAAAAGAAAAGAAAAAAAGAAAGCCCCTTGCTTTCAGGGATTCTAATTCTGGAGAGCTACCAAGCCTTGAAAATAAACAAAAACTTACTGCTGCGTTCTCTTCAAACGTCCATCTCCTTGAGCCGGCTGTCTGGGGTCTGGCTGAGGCAGGACAGACAGAGGCCTCTGAGCTTCACGTCTTCAAGTAGGCTCACCACATTTTTTCTTTCAAAGCAAGGTTGTCCTGGGGATTAGCCCTGGGGGTCTGGGAGATGCAAGCACGTGGAAAGGGTGAAGGCAAATAGGTTTCCAGCCCAGTTCACAGCTTGTAGGGAGTAAGAGAGGGAAAGGATCCCATTAGTCAGCCAGCGGGTCCCACGGCCGGAATCTTCTTGAGGACAGCCTCTGGGACACGTGCTTGGACTCTGATTGGAGGCCTATGGTGTGATGAGCACATTCTAAGAGTTTGAGAGCAGAGGGAACATTTCTCCCCAAGTCACCCAAGCCAGGCTTCTGACCTGTAGCCCAATGCTTGTCACTCCCTCCCCAGCTCAGCATTGCAAAGGCTGACTGGCATTCTCCAACCGGCCCAGCTCTTTTCAAACCCACAGACTGTGCCAGACTGGCCCCACCTCCCCTGCAGCAGACTCTGAAGCCCTGCTCCATGCTGTGCTGTGAGAAGCCAGACTTCCGCTGCAATTGTCCTACCTGGCTGTCCCCTCCGCCACTGCCCCTGGATCTGGGCTCCTGGCATGGTTTCAAAGGCACCCCTTGGATGTTCTCCCTCCCCCATTACCATCGGAGGCACCTCGACTTCTCCCTTCCCCAAATGTTACCCTTTCAAACGAAACGCTTTCATGCCTTGCAGTTTCTTTGATGTCTGGCCACCACCAGTCCCTTTCTCTAGCCTCTCTCACTGTCTTACTTGACATTTTTTTTTTTAGGCCCTGTTCTGTCTTCTGTTGTGGACTGAAAACCAAACCCCCTGTCCCTCCCCACTGCTACATTAAACATGTCGTACAGTGCAATTCTTCTCGAGGCCGTTCCTTAAAGCTCACCTCAACAGAGCTGAAGTCTGGCCAGCAGATGGCATGGAGGCTCGGGGTTCAGGCAGCTGGATCCCACATGGCCGGCCGTGTAGCGGAATCTCCTACCCTGTGGCTTGAAAAACACATTGGGAGCATGCGCATGAGCGGCCGAAATCGGGAGGAGAATAGAGAAGGGATTGTGGTATGGCCATTTCCATGAGGAAAGGGGTGATTTCTCCCTCTCCTTCGGTGTCTGTCTCGCTCTTTTTCTGGTGAGTGCACACAACCTTTAGCAAATTAAAAAAATCAAAATAAAATTAGACAGGTACCCTTAACTTACTACTTAGCTATTTATTGCTCACATGTTGCCATTCTGTTTTCGGTGACTCCTCTCATGGCTGCCAGGGAGGGTCTTCTATTGGCCAGGCACAGATGTACCCCACTAGAGTATCCCACTGAGTACTCAAAACAGTATTTAAAGGCACCATCAATATTTTACAGATGCAGGGAATGAGGTTAGAAAGAGTTAGAATTACTTAGTCTGTGAGCAGCACTGCTAGGATTCGAACCCAGGTCTGACTCCATTAGCCTGGTCTTTCTTTTGTATCACTGTACTCTTTGGCTCTTGCCTCTCCTCAGACTGGATATTTCTCCTCCTATGCATTTTCCATAGAAACCTATACCTAATTCACCTTAGCATTTATTCGTTCTCTCGTTTTGCTCATTTTATTCAATATGTAGTCATTGAGTCCTTTAGCTATAGGCAGACCCTGTGCTGGGCGGCACAATCTCCTATGTTTAAAGAGAGAGATGAGGCTATGCCTCTGCTGTCACTTACACGTGGTGTCCCCATCCCCGAATGCTGAGGTCGTGACAGGCTGCGCCAGGCTCCCTGGGCACCAAGTGGGGGCTTGCCAAGTAGTTCCCGGAAAAATTTTTATGCTACTATGGTTTGGATCATAACTTTTTGAAAGAGGAGAGTTCATCTCTAAATAACTCTCAGAAAAAAAAATGCTTAGTAAAATGCCACTTCAAAGTCGCATGTAGGCTAAACTAGAGGCACAGTGGATAGCGACGTGTAAGGCTGGAAGCCACATGGTGAATGGTGGTTTCGAGCCCTAGGTTAGCCTGAACACATGCTGGGAGCTGCATGGACACCCCCAGGAGGGCTGGGAAAAGGGTAATGAGGCAAGACAAGACCTGTTGCGTGTGCTTCTCTCTCTCTCCCCCATGTATACACTATCATGAATAAAA